GTGTGGTTCTAGTGTGGCTGGAAACATGGTCCTAGAAACCGGGGACGAGTCCCCCACGTCCCCCCGATGCCGTCGTCCCTGGTGACAAGTTGTGTCATTGAGCCGCATGTTTTATTAAGCTAGTGTTTTCTTATGACAGAGCATGTTTGATAATTTATGGAGAGCAAAGATTACCGAGGAGTCGCTGGAGAATTTGTGCGCGTGCAGTCAGTTTACTCGGTCCAAATGTTTGAGCCTACAGCAAAATGCTTTCTCACGTTGAAAAGAAGGCACGCCAATTTACTTTCTTCTCCTGTGCAGGACTCGACCTCAGCCTCGTTTGAAATGCAGAACTAGACGTTCCAGCAAATCGAAGTGTGGGAGAGAAAATAACATCAACCCGTTCAATTTCAAGGGTTAGGACGATGATATGATACATGTCATAAGCAACAATAAACAACAGTTACAGAAGTGTTATGATATATTACAGTATTTCTGTTATAAACTTGATCCGAAACCCTTGAATGGATGGATTTCTGGGATTAGCGCTCACACCAAGCAGTGCTTGTGTGAGCCATGCCTCCACCATCCCATCGCGCAATTCCAGGCAACCGCAGAAGTTAGTGGCCAAAGCGCGACGTACCACAATGGTCGGCACGGTCCGCCCTGCCTCCTGACGTCAACTGACCTTTAATGCGACCGCTGCCACCGGCCGCCGGCCATACCTGTCAATGGAAAATAGCGAGCACCCTAAAGCGACTCGAACCCACCCCGTCACGGGTCGGTGGATCAGAAGGCAGGCGCTCTAACCAACTGAGCCACCGGGACGGACATCTTTCGTTTTGGTGATTATAATGCTACGTAGTAATTGTAATGATAGGTAGTGATTATAATGAATGGTACAATGTCACAGCAATATGCAGTCGTGTTACGCGAACTCTTTGACGTCTTCCTAAAGAAGCATGCTTTGCAATCACAAATTTCAAAACCATGCCAACGGAACATTCGGTTTACGCTCTAAACTTGAACTGCTATCACAGGTAAGTACAGACGAGGGCGGCGGTATCGGCCAACGTTTTGGGGGGAACAAGGTTGTGCCTGTTTGGATGAATCATGTCAAGCTATGTTATACGCATAATGTTAAGCATTAAGTTTTAATATTTTGGGGACGCCTTCCCTGGAACCGTTTGTGCGTATATAGGTTACGTATTTCGCAATGTTAAACTTGGAAAGTAGGCACGTTTGCATGCTATCTCGTGTAAAACTAAAATATCTTTAAGCATTTACCGGGGCTAAAAGATTGTCCACAAACGATTTGCATTACACCGTTTACGTATGTTATCGATTGCATTTACGAGGGGCATTATGCATATAGATGAGACAGTACGAATAAGCTTATGCTTTTAGCATATACAGGACAGGGGGAGATAGATGTGATATTTCAGCTGCATGCCTTTACCGAAACAAATGTGAAACATTAGCTTAGATGAAGTCATATAGCCAAAATATGATACCTGCCACTCTAATCTCCTGTTTATTCTACGAGGAATGATGCTATTTATACTGTCCCATTAATCCGTTTTTACACATATTCGCCCACTACGACGAGCCAATTCAATACCTGCAAACCTCAGAACTAAACGACGGCTCTGTCCAAGAGGAAGCGATTTATTGAGTCATGTGCTCCATACGGACGCATTTTGTTAAAGGGCCTTGCTCGTAACAATGAAGTGGCATGAATATTTCGCCGTTGGAATAGAATGCAACTTGATAGAAGTCAGTGTTTTCCGTGAAAATATAACATTGTCGTCAGTGGGCTAATTCGCACAGCCAGGGCTTTGGAAAGGGGAGGGAGCACAAGGTTGACAAAGGGCCCCTGGTGATGAAAAGGCCCTCCAAAAAAAAATCGCCGGATATGACGATTTTTTAAATCATGGCATTCTTTCCTTTGGTATTTTCAAAATGTAGCGCTCTGTAAAAGGAACAGAAGCCTGAACCTATCACGAGATAAATTCTATTTGAATTTTATAGTCAATAAACTGAAGGAAAAGTAAATTAAACGATCGCAAGAAATCAGTCGCCGGCTCTCTCCATTTTGAAAGTCCAGTGACCTCTTTCTAAACCGGTGGAACTCCAACGCTTCGTCAAAGTTTTAGCCGAGTTCTCCAAAGATGCTAGGGACCCCGTGAAAATAGATTGTTAATCAAAGTGGTTCATCATTTTGTAGTAACTTGGCCATGTCATGTTTTTTATACGATCAACATCTAGTCAGAATCAATCATTTTTACAAATTTTGTGACGCAGTTTTGGAGATGCGCGCTCACCAAATTTAGAAATAAAAACATCGACGCCCAGCGTCGCACTATCCGCAGACCGCGCAACGCCAGTCCCATGGCTAGCACTAAGTAGTGACCAACGTGAGGACGAGAAAGATGACGCAACTGAAAGAAGTGTCTTTGAACGCTCTAGGACATCCAATCCTATATCTAGAAGGTTGTTTGAGCGAGTATTTCACCAGCGCGATTTTTAGATTGATGCTAAGAACGGTCTTTACAGCACTGCGAAATATCGCTGGGATCTCTTGTTAGAGCTGGAAGAGTAAAGGTATAATGTCTATTTCCGTGTCCCTGTAGCTGTTTACCTATCCATATAACATCCCAAAAGTTGTGAAAATGATACGCCCAGTTAAAACTTGGAACAGTATGGAATGATTTTAAAAGGCATTCGAAACCAATATTCCATGACGGCTCTCGCGCGCACAACGCCTGTCGCCTAGTGTTAATTGCGGCGGCCAACGCCGTTCGGTTCTACGGAAACTGCAGCTTAGACGGTTCTGTGGCCTGGACCCATACCACCACTGTCCTTGCTTCCGGGATTTCGGGCGCGCAGGCTCAAATATTTTGATGTAATCTGTTTCACTAACAGATATGCAAAAGGTCTTTTGCTGCGCGGGTCAAAAGACCCGCGCAGTGGGCCCAGACTCGACGCAGGAGCCCTTATTGATGCACAACATCCCTGATTGCCGCAGGTGGTCCAATAACTGGCACGTAGACTCCAGTTCGGCTTAACGGGCCATGCTAGAATGGGGTTGAAGGGTCCACCATCTGTTCCTGGGGGCCATGGCTGGCACAGGACCCTCCATCTGCCTCATTGTAAATACTCATCATAAGTTCTCATGCTTCCTTTCACTGCCAGAGGGCCTCGACCAACGCAAGAAGCCACTGCCATTCGGGGTCCTGTCCTGTCTCCGTTGAGCAAATGCTCTTCTGACCGACTCGACATCCCTTGTTGACGCTGAACATTCTGTTCGGCACTGGACCCCTAACCGATACGTAAGCCCGCATTGTTGCAGGGGCCCCGACCTGTGCAAATCGTCAGGATGACCTTGTTGTCGCTTGGGAGATGAGCTCCAAGAGATCTGACCCACACGGAACCCACTGTTCGGTTTTGGTGATCTCTGGCCGAGATAGAGAAACGCTCTGTTTCAGGAGTCCCCAATCGATACAAGAGGCTCTGTAACTGACATTTGAGATCATGGCCCTACGGGCAGGGGCCTGTTGACCGTCCTTTCGTCCTTCAATCCTTTATGTCATCTTCGGCCAGCCCTTAGTTCCCTGCAGTCTTCCAACCGGGCCGTTGATCTTTGTTCTCGAAAGACACTTCGGCCCCTCTCCGAACCCCCTCGAACAAAGCCCGTGAACGACCAGGGGTCATTAACCGACACAGGACCGCTTTTAAGCCCTGTGGGTCTCTGATCGACACAAGGGCCCCAACCATTGCTTCAGGAACCTAAACCAATACAATTTGTGGCCACGTGTTCCTCCTCGGGATATGGGGCCCAAGGTTCAGACAGACTGGGTGCCAACTGTTCGGTGTTCGTGGCCTCTGGCCGACTGAGACACCCACATTGTCACAGGCGGTCCTCAAACGGCGCAAGAAAACCTCTGACTGATATTTCATATCACGATCCTACGGGCCACGATTCTTAATGTGATTTACATCCAGTTTTTTCTGGCCCTTATGCCTCCTAACCAAGCTTTTGATCGTCGGTTCCGGTGAGCCGCCCTGGCCCCTCCGCAGGTCTCATCGAACGCTGCCCTTGGTCGGCTCGGGCCCCCTTGCGAACACAGGACCCTGTGTCAAGCGCCGCGGATCACTAACAGATGCAGGGGCCCCAAACAGTAGAAAGCGCTAGCCCCGGGATTTGTGGCTGATTGGAAAGATTGGGGAGTAGGTCCTTAGGTCCACGCCGACAAGCAGCCGACTATGTGGCGTGGTGGTACCTGACCGACATATAGTCCCATATCAATTCAGGGGGTTCCCGTTTATCGCAAGAATCGCTCTGACTGTAATTTGGGGGCACATTCCACAGGTCGGGGCCCTTGAATAAAACTCCGACCAGCGCTTCGTGCCCTTAAACTTGCCCTTGGTCCTCGGTCCCGATAGCTCTTCAAGCTCTGCGGGCCTCCTCAAACACTGCTTCTGGCCGACTCGGGACCCCTTGCCATCACAGGGCCCAGTGCCCCTGTTAGGAGTTTTGGGGCCCTGACAGACACTGGGGTCCCGACCGATATAAATCACTGGCTCCTGCTTCGTCAGTGCTTGGGGAATGCGCCCTCAGACCCATGCCGACACCGAGCCGACTGTGCATTATTGGTGAAGTCTGACCGAGATATGTGCGCTTTTCCACTGAGGGACCCCTGATCGGCGCACAGGGTCCTCTGGCTGGCATTGAAGTGCCTGGCCCTGCGGGCCGAGACCCTGAGTACAACCTCCGGCCGGCCTTTCGAGCTCCCCGGACATTCAAGTCGGAACCCTATTCTAATACCCCTCGGACCCTAAGAGGTGTAAGGGGGAGCACGTGCCCCCGTGTCCCCCCCCCCCCTGCTTACGCTACTGAGTGGATTACTCGAGCTGTACATGTTGAAATTCTTCACTCCTCGTCAGTTGCGAATGGTTTCACAGAAGATAATTTATTGGCCTTTGAGAAAAACTGTCTCACATGAGGGGCACATCGTAAATATGTCAGTTATGTCTGTGTTCTTAATGAGAAACGCCTTCTACAACGGCTTTGTTGAAACCTTTCGGGTAGTGGAAGGGCTCACCGCGCTTTATGCGCAGCGTCGCCAAACCAAACTGATCCGTTAAGGCATAGACATATAATCAGGTATGTATAAGGACTCTCATGAATATGCTCATGGGCATATCAGCCCCACGTCAACAAAGAATCAAACAAGGAAAAACAAGAAGATTTGGGAGCTGGATCACACACCTTCCGGGTCTTATGCCTGATTTCATGAGCTTTGTGCTGCTAAATCACACAGAGCCCAAATGTACTTTTTCCCGGTTTCTGAGCCTACTGATTGAGCATCGCGTCTGGAGGACTTAAAACTTAACGGAATATTACTCTCTACACTTGTTACATTTCTGAGCTACTGCGCGCATTTGCTTAAGGTTTTTTAGGGGGGGGGGGGGTCGGAGGCGGGCTGCAGGTCAAAATGACCCTAGGACCCTGACGGCCTAGAGGTCCCAATATCAACCAAGATACGGGACGTTTAAGAGTGACCTGATGTGCTCACCAACGGTGACGATACTTCATCGTAGCACCCTTGATCAAAATGGGCCGGATTAAGTCCACAGGTGCACCACCATCTTTCAGAACAGCTGCAACTGGTTGATATTCGATGGGTAGGCGAGAATTTTTTATTCGTTACCAGATTTTTTACCGCAGTTAGCATGCTAAAGGGGCCTCTCCATGAACTCTTTTATGACGTACAGCTAGGACTTTCAGCGGCGGAGAGATAAACTGAACAGTCAAGACGGGTGACCTGCAAAATCGCAGCAGCAAGCCATCGCCCGAGACAACACTTTCTGGTATTTCATTGTTGCGTGGAATCGGCCACGGTGTCTCCCGCAGTTAACTCGCGGTAGGAGCTTCAAATAAACTTGCATGCAATTTCCGATAATACCCAGCCATCAAATGCACTAGAGAAAGTAAAATGCAAGAGAAAATACTGGCGATGGAGGTTCCAAGACTTCACCTCGCGTGTCGGACTCCGGTCTCATTTTAGCCCCCCCCCCCTTCAGTGCACTGACCTAGCCGTCGCTGGGTGACTGCCGTGTGACTCGCCTTCTGATGATCAGCTGACCTCTTGCCGACCCCGTAGTGCGTCAAGCCGACGCTATCCTCTGCGCGGTGCCGGCCCCTGTGTACCGCCGCCGCCCGGTCCGCGCGGCGCCCGCAGCTGTGCTGACTGTCGCCGTCGGCCGAGACAAGGCCCGTCTGAGGCGGCAGCGTCACCTCGGACACCCCTGGCGCCCCGAACACCCCTCGGTCGGCCGGCCGGCCGCTGGGGCAGGCTCTCGCGGCAATCGAACACGACCGGGCCATCGATCCCACGCGCACGGCCGGAGCGCGTGCGACAGAGACGCCTAGCGGCCAACGGCGAAGTCGAGATAGGCCGTCCACCCGCTGGGAAGATGGCATAACCATAACAACGGTCTGTTTTATTTTGTGTGCAGTTCTGAGGAGATGCAGACTGGGCAAATAGCAACAGCGATTATTTGGTCAAGCGTTCTTTGTGTTCCTAGGCTGCTTCTCCCCTAGGGGCCAAGTTTGGAAGCTGCCGAATATCTGTTGACATTTTGAAAGATATGGAATCTTCATTTCTAGCACGAGCCATGCACATTGAAAAATATATTGAATCTTTACTTCTATCACATGTTACGTAGCGTGGTCGGAGCTGGGCAGATGAGACGTGACCGGTTGTGACACGCGAGGCTTAGAGGCCTTTAACAGTAGATTTATTTGCATTGAACAGTTTCGTCCACCATCAGACATCCTATTCCCATTCGTGAAGAGTTTGACACAGAATGGTTAACAACATATGGCCTGTTTTGAGCGCTTTACTATTTTGCATAGTTAATCGTAACAAAAAACTACAATAACTAATACTTCAATATTTCCGCAGGCATCTGCTCCACACTTCTTGACGTCTCCAGCCCGGGCGCACCCGTACCCAACATATTCCGTAACTTTGGTTGTTTCTCAGTGTGTGCGGAGATAGGTATGGTATGGTATAAGTGTATAGGTATAGGTATATACAAAGGTATGCTCCACCCATGAAAGTCTTCACTGTGGATCACTGAGCTTAGACTTTTCCGCGATCTATGGAAGCATGTATGTGCAGATGAAAAATGCAGGGAAAGGCTCGTGTGGTGGACTTGCTGGGGCGCGCAGACTATGACGAACCATTTGTCGACACGGGCTCTTCCTCACCGGTCACAACCAATTCTCCTAGCCCACACTCATGCATGCGTATTGCTCGTACACGCGCGCACGTATTGTAACTAAGATGAACAAGACTCGCCACGTGACAGGATGTGAACAATGGGTCTGCCGCTGGCGAGGCACCTAGAGACCCAGCTTCAAAACCGTGTTTTTTTGGGTTCTGATTCAAGCGAATTAATTCAGTTTTAGATGAGTCGGACTCTGGCTCGTCTCGGAATAACACATGCTGGGCACCTTAGACGTTATGAAACGTTGAGTATCATTCAAGCTTCAAACATAGTCAAGGAGCATATATTAACAGCGAAATGATGTTGCGAAAAAATGCTTCGTTCTATAGAGCGGGATTGGGTACAGAGAGACCGTAGCACGGCATCCGTATCTACTGTATTGAGTCGAGTGGAATGGATTACGTTCGTTTCTGTTGGTTTCGGTTCAATTTGGGTGTATTTGTTATGTTGAAGTTAGTCCAAACTTGGTTGCGAAAGATTTTTCACTGGTTGGTGAAGCTTTGCAATGGCACATGGTTAGAATTCAATAACTATGTTAATGCTGACCTGCAAGACATCACGTAATGCTTGGTTTGCTTAAAGAGAACGTTCCACATAATAAGACATTGAAACAAGCATCACATATGATGAAATAAGCTACCGTCTAACTATTGGCGTGCTTGCCATTGGAAAAGACTGCTTTAACCAACAGGATTTCTCTATTACGTAAATATGCCCCTCAACACGTCATTGTTTGATTTCGTCGTCGTACCTTGTACAACAGCTATTGAGAGCCAATTGACAGGGCTTATAGCTGGGAATCATGCTCACGAACGCCAGGTATGAACAACTCAACAATCATACTTTATCGGCTTAGATCGCCGCATGGCTAATGGTTGGCAGAATTTGGATGACGTTATTATAGCGTCATGGATGCCTGGTTGACCTTGAAATAGTCTTTCTGATTTAGGCGGCATATCATCATCTAGTGTAGCTCAGATATTAAAGGGGTTTAGACCTTAAAAAGGACAGGGCTGTGGACTGCACTGAATAATCTTCAAGATGGCCACTCCAGTTCAAAACCCTCATACAAATGTGGAACACTCCCTTTAAGGTTATGTGATCTTGGGGCAAATGTCAGTTTACATCACTACGATTTCTAGCTTTCTGTCGGACGTCCCTCTGGTGATTTTCCAACATTCCTGGTATTTTTTTTGTGTTGGCAGTCCCATTCCGGTAATTTTATAATGAGCCGAATCATATTCCGGGATTTTCTACCCGCCGATCGCTCCCTGTGAGGCCTGGCGCCAAGACCTCCCTGTGAGGCCTGGCGCCAAGACCTCCCTGTGAGGCCTGGCTACATCTGGTCGGTCGCAGCTCCCATAGTAGAAACCGCCGTCTGAGAAGGTGGCGTTCATAGGCCATTTCGTCTTTGCGTTGTAAACGCAACGGAATATCATGTTGATTTAACCATGATGCACTCAAATGACATCAATATGACAAGAACATGGCGACTGCCCCTATTTCAGCATACCTTTACCGCCACCTGCCTTACCGGAACTGCGCGCCTAGAATAGAATGCGCATTTCGGTGAGCCCGCGGCTGGTTTGTTCCTTTGACGCGGAGGTTCCCCTTCAGAAAACGGTCAAGCTATTTTTAGATTAGCCCGGGGCCGCCGGCCAAAGGGTGGGGTGGGGGTGGGGGTGGGAGCGTGGGCAGCAAACACGACCCTATCCCCCGATTACAGCCCCCGGGAGGGGAACGCAGCGCCGCGCCCCGGTCAGGCTCGCCGGTCAGAAGCTGTTTGCGTCTCCGTCCGAGGCAGCAGTGCCAGTGTTGTTGCCAGGGCCGGCGCGCTGGGATACGCCGGGAAGGGCTGATCTCCGGCTTGACCAAGCACGATGGGAACACTGGCCAAGCTCATCGAACGGGTGCTGCGGTTCGGTAAGCAACTGGTGCTTCAGCACAACCGCTCACGCTCGTCTCTTTTTACCACTCAAAGGCTTTTTCAGTCTCTACACCATTCGAAATGCCTTTCATATGACGTCACGACGTCGCCAGTCCGCATGCCACGTTTCACCACTCGCCACCGTTGTTCCGACAGGCGCAGCTGTCCGTGCCTGGGTGAAGCGCTTGCGCCAGCGGCAGCCCAAGTCTTCCGAGACCGTCGCTGAGGCCACCGGCGTCGATCTGATCTCCCGGCTGTCGGACGAACTGCTGCTGGAGGTGCTGGCGTACCTGCCGCCGGCCTGCGTGCTGCGCGCCAGCGCCACCTGTCGCCGCTGGCGCCGCGTCTGCCGTGACCGCCGGCTGTGGCAGCGCTGCTGCGCTGCGCTGCGGCTGCCGCTGGCGCCGGGCGAGGACGCGCGCGTTGCCTGCGAGCTGCACGCCCGCTGGCGTAGTGGCCAGGCGCGCGTGCGCGTCAGCCGGCTGGCGCGCGACTGCCGCGTCCCGCCCGGCGGTCTCGTGCTGGACGTGGGCACGGACCGGGTGCTGGTGCAGTGGGGTACCAACGCCGAGGTGTGGTCCACCGAGCGGCGCGGGCGGGTCTGCGTGCTTGACACCGACAGTGCGTTCTGTCTGGCGCGCGTCTTCAGCGAGCGCGCCATGACCACGTCGACCGACCACGCGGCGCGTGTGTGGTGCCTGATCACCGGCCGGCTGCTCTGTGTCATGCCGGGCCACACGGCACCCATCGAAGCGTTCGACCTGAGCGGGGCGTTTGCGGTGACGGGTGCCGCCGACCGGCGCATCGGCTGCTGGGACGCTGAGACGGGCCTCTGCCGCGGCCTGCTCGAGGGCCACGCCTCGCCGCCCGTGAAGGTCAGGTGCCGCGGCGCGCGCGCCGTCTCGGCCGACGGGCTCGGCGCCGTGCTGGTGTGGGACCTAGCCGCCGGGCGTCTCCTCTACGCGGTGGACACGCGCGCGCGTTCGCGCAGTCCGGTGCGCTGCGGCCTGATGGTGGCGCTGAATGGCCACGAGGTGGCGGTGGCGCTGCGAAGCGGCCGGCTGCGCGTCACCACCGGCGACGAGGGCCGCGCGCTGATGGACGTGCACACCGGCGAGCGGCGGCTGCGCGATGTCCGCATGAACGAGCGCCTGCTGGTGGTGGCCGGCTCCAGCGGGAGGGTCCGCTGCTGGCGGCTGCCCTCGCTCGAACCGCTCTTCACCGCGCGCGTCTGCCTCCTGCCCGCCTACCGGATCGTGCTGGAGCACAGCCTGCTGTTCGTGCAGGGTGATGAACTGCTGCGCGTGTACGACGTCGAGACGGGCCAGCTGCACGAGAGCAAGCCGCTGCCGCGACTGGCGAGGGAGATGATGCGCGTGCACCGCGACCGGCTGCTCAGCCTTACCTACGACGAGGATGGGGAGCTGAGCTTTCATGTGGTGCATGTGTAGCCGAGCGGCGGCTCAGCCTTACCTACGACGAGGACGGGGAGCTGAGCTTTCATGTGGTGCATGTGTAGCCGAGCGGCGGCTCAGCCTTACCTACGACGAGGACGGGGAGCTGAGCTTTCATGTGGTGCATGTGTAGCCGAGCGGCGGCTCATGCAGAGGCGCGGTGAACGTGATGGGGCTGAGCACCGCTCCAGAGAGCGCAGAGGGTGCTCTATCTGCTGACAGCCCAGGCTAGTAAAATTGAAATATGGTAAGTGAGCCTGGCGTCCATGTAAAGAACATATGAACAACGTAGAACGAGGTCTATGTTGTAGCGCCAGGCATGAAAAATGAAGATCTGGAAAAATTTGTTATGCATCCAACCCATGTAAACGGTAGCATGCAAATCCATGTGAACACAAACGATGTCAGGGCATATGGTTTCCGGTTGTGTCGCCATCACCATTCTTTCTACAAACCTAGCTGAGTAGCTAACTTATATAATGTAAAACTTGCATAACAAGCAAATTTTTGACCGCTAATTTCCGCCTTTGAAAAACGCAGGTTTTTGCGAAACAACACATCGCTAAAATATCTGTTCATCTTAAACAGTGTGAGCAAACTGGGTCCCTATAAGCCGATTGAGTTGTAGGTCTACAGCACTGTAAAATATTGATTTGAATGTGAAGGGTGTTGTGCACGGCGAGTGCTACCAGCCAAGAAGTAATACATGTTTAATCTACCCAAAGTCTAACTCTTCGGCGATCGTCACAAAAAAACTGAATCCCGGGAGGAACTGGATGATCTTTCAGCCATGAATCGTCACAACCCAAACGCCCCCTTGGAATTGCTAAGACTCGAACCAAGATCCTCCCATTGCGAATCCAGTGCTCTGCCAACTGGACTAGCCGAGTTTACATCAGTTGGTAAGCACTGGATTTGCGGTCAGATGACCCTAGTTTGAATTTCAGCAATTCCGAGGAGCAGGGATGCCACTTTATAGACTTCCGGGGGGGGGGCTTAAGCCCCCAATGCTGACTTAAGCCCTCTGATGCTCCTCTGAACTACCTCTACACGCGCTCGTGTGGGGGAGTGGGTCAAATTGACCGTTCCCGAAAGTTTTTTTCCGAAATGGTTTTCAAACGGCGCGGCCTAGCCGCACCAAATTTGGTATGGTTGCATACAATTAAACCGCGGTTTGTCAGTTTCTAGGGAAACGTTCAATCTCGTGCGACATTGGAGTGTTAGACAACGCCATACATCCCTGAAATACTCTCTTAGACAGCATAACAACTGCATGAACAAGTCCCATTGACCTTTCCAATTTATTGATAACACAAATTGCACGTTGATATTCCATGTACTTTTTTAAGGTCAGGATAGGTTACTATTCTAAAATGACCCAGGTCAACATTTGTTTTTAGGACCATACTGCCTTGCGTAATCTTTGCCGTTTATTAAAAGGCAAAAGTCAAAGCAGTCTCGTATGATTTTGTTCACTATGACCTTCGAAAGGTCATGCTAAGTCAGTGACCTTAAATGAGCGTGTTAATTTTTGCTTAGGACAGATATTTAGGTTCTGGGGCACTTTGGAGACTGACCTAGAGTTTAACATTGTTTGACTTTATTTGACCCAACGGTTATGGCCCAGGAACTTAAAACTGAACGTAAGTGGGTTCACGTACAGGCCAATACACCCTGTGAATTTGGTGTCTCTAGCTCTCTTAGTTCCTGAGATCTCAGGGGAGTCTAATTGACCCCTCACCCAGGCAAAGGGTATCCAACCGGCCACCCGGGTGCGTGTTAACGCATATAAGCAAGCAGGGAATACTTACCCAAATAAATGTAGTTTTCACAAGAAGCCAGCTCACATTAACTTGAAACGGGAAGATATACCTCTACGAGAAAACAATTTTGACTATAGAAAATATTCTTAAAAAGTTTTTGCTCCCTAAAATGTGAACATCAAGGAGGCACATTCAAGTGGACAAAATCCGGTGAGAAATCAGGATTTAGAGACAAGTTAGGTCAATCTTTTCGGCTGATCTACCCCACCAATTCTAAGAGGTGACAGCCTTGCCAGGGAGCGTCACTTCGGCCGTGACGCGTACATGGCTGAAAGCCGCGCATCTCCCAGGCCTTCTCAGAAATCGATGAGCTCTGACAACGGCTAGGGAGCCAGCCTGCGCTTGGAAGTCGTTGTGCGACGTTGAACAAGTTATAATTGACGTGCAGCTTCAAACATCTTGAGTTAAACGTTCAGAACAGCTATCACTAAACGCCATGGGCCGTGCAAAGGAATTGACGCATGGATTATGGAAATCGTCCAAACCAAGTGATTCCAGTGTTGAAGGCCCCTCCTATTTTTCCAACTAAGCTTTCCCACAGCAATGGAAGTGAGCACTGGCAGCTATCAATATGGTGAGTGAGGATAGTGGCTTTTGCTTAGTACGTTCTACGTCCACCCACCTCGCCCTGCTCTGGCATTCTAAAAAAGCATATTTGTGGTTGTGGACTTGCTTGCTGCACTACTGGATGGGAGCAATCAGCTATGCTGACATGCACACGATGAGTCCGCCGGCGTCTTCAGTGAGCTTTGATGCACGGCCTCATGCATTTACCAACAAATCAGAATAGCCTTGGTTTCTGCTGCGCTTTATGTAACCAATTCCTGCAACAACGCCTGTGACTATAGCGCGCCGGGCTCCGGCAGACTGGTGACGGTCACGCGCTGACCCCGCGTCCAGAGTCTGGCGTCAGCAGACTGGTGACGGTCACGCGCTGACCCCGCGTCCAGAGTCTGGCGTCAGCAGACTGGTGACGGTCACGCGCTGACCCCGCGTCCAGAGTCTGGCGTCAGCAGACTGGTGACGGTCACGCGCTGACCCTGCGTCCAGAGTCTGGCGTCAGCAGACTGGTGACGGTCACGCGCTGACCCCGCGTCCAGAGTCTGGCGTCAGCAGACTGGTGACGGTCACGCGCTGACCCTGCGTCCAGAGTCTGGCGTCAGCAGACTGGTGACGGTCACGCGCTGACCCCGCGTCCAGAGTCTGGCGTCAGCAGACTGGTGACGGTCACGCGCTGACCCCGCGTCCAGAGTCTGGCGTCAGCAGACTGGTGACGGTCACGCGCTGACCCCGCGTCCAGAGTCTGGCGTCAGCAGACTGGTGATGGTCACGCGCTGACCCTGCGTCCAGAGTCTGGCTCCGGCAGACTGATGCGGGTCACGCACTGACCCCGCGTCCAGAGTCTGGCTTTGGCGGAAGGTCCAGATAACCCTGGGCAAGCTGCTGAGAGCGAATGCCAAACACAGGCCCAGGGATTTGAGCGTGAAGAGATGTTTAGCGGCATCCTGAGCAGCCTATGAACAGCCCAACCCTCTGGACGAGAACCACCAGGCTTCCTCAGATCTCTTCTGTGAGGCGAAAGTCAGCATTTTTGGCTGCAGACGTCCACTCCCTGAAAGGCATGGTTTTGCAAAGTAAGTTGAGCTGGGGTAATAAGTTGAAGCGGGAGGAGGAGCTGACCTAAAAAAAAATGGTCAAACACAGCCCAAAACTCACAAAAAGCAGACTTCCTCCCGGAGGTGACTTACTTCACTCTCAAAGTTGGGGGCTCAAGCCCCCATTTGAAAAGAACCACAACCTAGCTCTCTTTCTTTGTGAGGGAAAAATATTTGTGTCGTACAGCTTCCGTAACTAGCGGAGAAGTCGGCTCTTCTCGTTTATCTGACGTGTTGACAGGTTTATCTGCACCCCGAACGGCGACCCAGTCGCGACGTCCACTATCGGTTTTCACCGAAACGGTCACGAAGTGTTTCCGGACGTATTTTGGTAAATTCTGTCAAAGCGACCGGCGAACATTTCCAGCTCTGATATGAACAAACGTCACGAAATGCAATGGAGGGATGATATTTACAAACATTGTCATCACATCTGGATGAAAAAATGTCGTCGCCAGACGCGCGATAACACACTCGAATTCTACAGGTGCTGCCGTCCGGATCCATTTCTTTGTGCAGCGAGCAAGCGAGCACCACCGACAGAACACTGCGCGTCAGTACCTGCATCACGTCAATCACGACACAACAGTGGGGAGAAGCTGGCGCGAATGGCTGGCATCCCTGGCACTGCGTCTGAACGCGACACAGTCTTGACACTGAGCGGGTGGCGTTCAACAAGGTAACCGTCTGACGGATGAGATCTGGGCCGGGCCGCGCTCGACATGCGGAAACAGATCCAGGCGCCTCGCACCCGCAGAGGCGCGCCAGCCACGCGCTACCAATGAGACATCAGGTACCGTGTATGGCAACGCTTCCAGGACGTGACGACCTGGGGCTGGCGGGTTGGGCCGTTGGAGCCGCGACAGCTTCCAGCGGACCGCTGAATAGCAACACCGCGCCTCTGAACAGACATGGGAGAAGACCCGCAAGATGTCTGAGGAAACCTTCCCCTGTGGCGCCGTCCTGTTGGCGGTGCGGGGCACAACACACTCACTGTTCGCTGCATGTTATCAGACGGCTTCTTGCCACCTGCAACACTCCGTAGAATGTTGGCAACAAGTTCATAGCGTGGTAAAGGGGCGGGATGATATTAAATACGTTGGTTCAAGCGTGACGACATAGAGGCAAGCTATGGTAAGAAAACGCCTAAATGCGAGGGCTTAGAAATAAAATAAGCACTAGAAATATTGGGTGTAGACAATAAAAGACAGTGAGGGCCATTGTTGCTAAGGGTAGCAAGAAAACACTGATGCGAAGGCTATCTGAATATGGGATTGCTGTCCAAACAACACAAAATCCTGAGACAGCGTGCTAATGATCTACATCATCGACATAAGTGCACATGACCATATGGCACAACAGCGGCATCAGTTGCGATGGTCTGAGGCGTGGCCGATTCCAGTCGTGGTCATATAACACCACAGTTGCTCAATTATATTTAATTTGCACTATAAGGTCAGAGCCATCTGCCCGATATGCGGGCAAGCTGGAGTCTGCTAAAACGCCACGCTAGGCGCCACAGAGCGGCTACCGGCTAGGAACACGCAGATCCGGTCCCCAACGTGACAGATTCACAAGCTTCCACGGCAGCTGCCGCCTGCTGGCCCTGGTGACCCCGGTCGAAACCGTCGTCCCCGCCAGACGGTGCGACGCACAGACAGTCGCTGGCCGTGTCACAGGACGGACCCCACCGCCGGCGCGTCATGACAGGTGCTGGAGCAGACCTCTCCGCCGATAGCGAGTTCGTGACCCAGCGTGCCAGAGCAGGGCCGAGGCTGCACACCGCTGGCGAGCGCCTACAGCTGGTGAACTCTCGTCACCCACTCCCACGTGTCAGACGTGCCGCGGAGGGACGCGTTCGCGCGCGCCGCCGTCCCCGGCACTTGCCGTCCACCCCGCTCTGGTCTGTGCCGACCACGGCGAGCTGCTGGTGACGGCTCCTCCGTCAGCTCCTCCACTGCGGGCCGAATCCAGGCGACGTGTGGCGCTTGGGGCCCTCCACAGGCGACCGTGAGCACTCAGTCGCTAATCAGGTACGTCTCGAACGGATTTGGTCGCTTGGTCGGTCGACGTTCTTCTGGAATAAACGAACCGAGGCCATGTTTAATGGGGTGTGGTAATTGCCAATGAGCACGACAAATTGAAGCATGATGATGTCTTATTGTGTTCTATATACACTCCAGGGTTGCGTCTCAATCCTGAGTCAAAAACGTTAATATAGCGTGTGTCACATCACGAAAAACTGCACAAAGCCAACGTCTCACCGTTGTTCTGAGAGGTGCAGTAAAAGGACATTTGAACGAGCTGAACGAATGATTATTAGGTTTAAGCAGGTATCAAGAAAAGCGGTAAAAGAACAACCAGGATTAGTGATAAAAGGCAACAAACTAGCAGTACGCTAAAAAATCAACACAGTGTTTGCCTGCACGCACTTCTGTCAGCCCCACATCGGAGGGTGAGTGAGCCGACGACCAACACGCGGCTCTGACAGGTGTCACTGGCAGCTGCTCGGCGCGCCGTCCAGCATCGGCGGCCTACCTTCGACGGCGCCGACACACACGCGCCACTCGTCCAGGTCGATCTTGCGGTCGTTGTTGGCGTCGCAGTAGCGCGGTAGCCGCCGTCCACACCGCCTCAGGTCGGGGTCCCGCGAGAACTCCTCCCGCAGCGCCTTCCACTCCCGCCTGTCCAGCACCTGCAGCAAGCCCGAATTCATCGGTCACGGCTCGGCGGCGTATGTGGCCTCAGGGGCGGCCCAGCCAAGCGACCATGTGTGTTATCTGGTCAGTCTCGCCGGCGCAGTGGTCGCTAGCGGTCGTTCGCATTTCGTTTTAAGCGCTTGTATGCGATATGTGTGTGATGCTTTCTCTTTGCCGTGAGTACATGATTGGCTTCGACTACATCGGCTACTGACATCAGTTCTAAGAGCACTGACAATTTCGTACAATCGTGCACTCTTTTTTAATTTCCTGTATGATGTTATGGACTGATGCTTCCATGCTCATACAGGCTGCAGGCCTTTTAAAGGAATTTTAAGTGAGCTGAAACATCCAAGTACATGACCGATTCCAAACATGGCTTTGACTAATGTACCGCTAAAACTACAACTCCACATATTATCCTCATGCTTCTCATCCCATGTTTCATCGCCCGAAGAAAAAAGACAACAATAAAAACTATATCAAACTACTGGCTAAAAAACATGACTCGGCTAACACGCGGCTGGCATTTGCCAGAGCAGTCGTGAGCGACCGAAATATCTCGCTTATGCGGCATGGGAGGGAGGACAAAATTGACTCAGCACTTAAGCATTTTGCACTTACTCAGCATGTTGAAAAGGCCCTGATAAGTTGCATACATTTCCAATCGTCTTCTTTGTTTCACCACCCATCCCACCATACGTCACTGCCATCATGCATCAGCACAGGAAAGCCCCTTCCGTAGTTCCACGAGTTCATCCACTCAGGTATGACCTGTTCCGGTAGCATCAGACGCGCCGCCGCAGGCGGTGTTGCATCACACTGATCCAGGTAGGTAGACACCGCGCATTTGCAGCCGCCCGAACGGCATGACGTCATTTCAATGGCGCAATGAAAACAATGCAAGGTTGAGCGGAGGGTAATTGCGGGGCGGTGGCGTTCAGTCACGGCACGTTACCATCGCCGCCTCCGCCGGCTCCATCGCTGCGGCAAGCTGTGATTCACAGACGCGGACAGTCCATGGGGTATGCATAAGATGCCTATAGCCGTGCATATCATTCACCATGATTGAAGGGAGATGTTCATCGGTTTCCCACAGAATGCACGGCGCTGCAAGACTGAGCTGGAAGATATTCATAATGTAGGATCATTATGAATGAGGTCTCTGCTAGGCAGGTAACGGATACACGTTGCGAACAAATGCGATACCCGATCTACACCACCGAAGGCGGCGAGAATCCCCGCAAATAATCCCCGCAAATCGCCGCTTGTACATAGTCGGCCAGGTGGGGATGTTACCAGCGACCGGCAGCAGCTTGCGACCGCTGGTGGAGCATGTGTATAGAGCATCGTGCAAGTGCAGCTGTCACGTATAAAATTGGAGCTAATGCACGCTAGCAACCCTTCCATCAGCCTGCATCTGCACGCCAAGAGGTGGACCAATGCCAAGTCCGGGTCATGCTGCGGCGTTTGTGTGGCCGTGCCGCCGACAGCTGCCGCCTTGAATGAGGCGGCGCTGGCGCTCGTCCGAAAACAACCGAGCTGCACCGGTCTCAGCCTGCGGGAAAACCTTCGAATTTTGCGAGCACAACATCCTGCAAAAGCAATGCACAGAAGCGGAACCGCATTACTGTTTGATGATCATGGCAAACAGTGTGCCTGTGATGTACTTAACCAGCCCACAAATACAGCCATAGCACCCCGCTTATCTTGGCGAGTTGGGACACATGGATGTCATAATAACGCTGTGACCATCCGGCCTCCATCATCGAACGCGCCGAAGCCCGCGGCCAACAGGCTATCAGACCCAGGAAGCCAGCGCCTGACGTCATCCACAACGCATGCGCAGTGAGACCCCAGAGCTATTTTTGCCGCCGGTGACTTGACCAGATGTCGTGTCCCGGCCAGTTCGACCTGGGAAGCCCTGGTGGTTCTGACGCGGGAAACTCCCACCGCTTCCGCACTTCGCCGGCAGTGAGGCATAGTGATATCCAGGGTGCTCTTACGTCAAAGTCGCGCAGAGTGCCCCGCCAGCGTGGGACAGTCCGGCGACGTTCGGGGAAGATACGGACATCCCGTCCAGACGGACACCAGCAAAACCCGCGCAGCCGCCGCTGGGCAGCCATTCGCCTGCAGACCGTCGCACGCGCCTGCCAGTCAGCGGCCCCCAGCGCCCCCAGCTCCGAAACCCGAGACGGAACCGAACCCGGCGCCGTATCAGCAGACCAGTCGAAGAGCAGAGCCAGCGGGCGGCGAGAGCGAGCGGAGAGTGAGTGCGTGGAGCGGTGCCCGAGACGACACGATGTCCGGCCCCGGTCTGGAGAGCAGCATGGCGGCGCCGGAACTGAGCCCTGCCAGCCGCGACGGCTTTGAGGAGCAGCCGTTCAACGGCGCCGCGCCGCCCGGGGCTGAGCCTTTCGACGGCGTGCGCGCCGACGGCGAGGCGGCGCTCGGGCGCCGGCGGCGGCGTCCCAAGTGGCGCGACGTGGTTGATACGCGGCCCGCGCCGCACATGGACGTCGACGTGTACAGCACCAAGAAGACGGTGTCGCAGGGGTTCATGGACGTGGCGCTGCTTTCGGCCAACGCCGACCAGCTGCGCACGTTGGTGACCAAGGGTGACGCCGACTCGCCCTTCCACACCGTCTGCATCGTGTTTCTGTCGCTCAGCCTCATCCTGCAGGTGGTGATCGCGGTATGCTTGCTGTTCAAGGGCCGCGCCAACATCAACAAGTCGAGACACTTCCGAGGCTGCGAGGTGGCCAACAACATCTGCATGGTCGCCTCCGTGCTGCTGACAGTCTGCAACGTGCTAGCGTCGGCGTTCATGTCAGAGGTGCCCGCCTCGGCCGGCGGTGCGGCGGGGGCCGCCGCGGCGTCTCTGGGCGCGGTCTTGGGATGAGTCGCGCTCCGAGATCGCAGTGCGCTTCAGGGTATGGACCCACGTGCGCTGCCCGGTGTCGCTCCGTGCCGCCTCAGGCCATGGGGCGCGCTCCCACAGGATGGATTCGTGTGAGGCGCCCCCTGGCCGGCCCGCGTGACAGGCCGGCCTGCCCCGGTGGCAGGGTGTGATGAAAGTCACACCAGCGTGACAAGACGTCACGCTACAAGCCACAAGCTACAATACTACGGCACGCCACACCACAATACGGTGTTACGCTACC